TTTCAATCTGTAAACATTCACTACTGAAAAAATAAGGCATCGAGCCCTAATAGGAAATCTCTCAAGTGGGGAAAGGGACAGTAAAAGAATTTCAGGTTTTTATTGCACCATCTGGTTGCAGTTAGCCCCATTTCTTGTCTTGGTGTCACAATAATTGAAAAGTAGAGAGTTTGGAAAATGCAATATAGAAATACAAATATAAGGATACCACCTAGTACCTGCTGAGGAAATTAGTTTTTTCTTTCACAAGCAGTTTAGAACATGCTTTTGCCTGCACAATGGGCCCTTGTATATAGGCTCATTGTATATGGATATTTCCCAAGTACTGCAGACCACCAGTATGTAGCAGGTATAAATGTGTGCAATATAGACTACTGGCCACATTCAATTAAGATGCTTTGGATTAAGGGTGCAAAGAGGAGCTGTCACTGGAAAAGGAGTGTTAATGGTGGGCTCCCATCACCATTTTTATATTGAGTGCTGTAATTTGTAGAGATGGTGCTTAGATAAACTTGGACATGGAAGCATCCACTGTGCAGCCTTGATTACTTTATAGGGAAATTGGCTGTTACACCACAGCCCCCATCCCCTTAATCACTGTAGTGTAATCGTATTGGTTCAAGGTAAATCTAATACAGTTGTTCACAAAGTTTTGCAGAGGAGGGTAAAAACTAAAACACATGAAGAGTCTTGTTTCGGTGGGCCGTTTTACCCTTCTGCCTTCTTTGTTTCCATGCTTGCATAAACATGCTCTTTCTCAAACTGATTTCTGAATGGTAATGTCAGCCTTTAGTATCACTGTCTGGCCAGTTTCATTTTTTTTAATAAGAAAAGCTGCATCCGTTTAGGTGAACAATAGCCTGTAATTCGACTTTTAGCTTAGTGCAGATGTCAGGGAAAAGCAGTGAGCAAATCACACAAGCAGGAAATAAAATTTGTGGGGTAGTTCTTTAAAGACAGCACCGCTAGGTTACTAGCGCATGTAGCATATAAATTATGCTTTTTTTTTTTTATAGCAAAAGGTTTTTGTTTTTTTTTAATAACTGCAAATGTGCAAGTGCTGAGTTTTTTTTTGTGGATGATAACAGATAGAGTATATGAAGCTTTAGCTATTCTCCACCATTCCCTGTATTTTTTGTATATACATTTATTAAATCTATTCGACAGCCTATTCCTGCAGGCTGTTTGGTAGGAGATATTTGGGGAAGAGATCCATGCATAGGCTTAGAAATTGCTTCCGGCAAATGTTAGTAAAGCATCATTTAATATATGATGTGCTGAGCTGGAAGATGCTTCACTTGTTTTATCACGACCCAAATGTGTATATTAATATTTTTGTGCTATCTACCTATATTTTCCAGCATGTTTGAGGGCAGATTTTGAATATAGCATCTATTTAGACTTTAAATAATAAGAAACATGACAGAATGCAAAGTATTTCAAACATATAGGGTCCATGGTGATAATGAGGATTTTAGAAGCAGCTGACTTCCTGCATATGGCAAATAAGATTAAGAGCAGTCTAGGCAGTAATTACCTTGCAGCAGATGTATTTTGACCCACTTTAGATTTAGATATATGAACTTAATTCATGTTAGCCCTGTTGATATTGAAGTGACATTGAAGGCAGAATTCTCCTCCCCGCCAATGCTGCTTTAGGGTCGTTCACACGACGTCCGTTTTGTGTGCTGACCGGATCCGTACGCTGCTGCACTCAAAATGCATCCCAATGTATCCCTATGTGTTTTATGGGCTACAGTTCTCACGTGCGCAGTCCGTTCAGCTTACGACAGAAAAAATACTGCATGTCACATTTTGTCCGGTCCGAACGCGCACAAAACTCAACGCAATGCAGCTAAGGGGGGGAAAAAAAAAGAAAAAATTGTATTCTGGCTCCACTTATTATGTCATCAACGTTGAAAAAAAATTAACTGTCAGCATCCGGACCAAAAACGCGTCAAAAAACGCACTGCATCAGCAGCTCCACGTCTGCTGATCAGGACCTGATCTCATGTGAACAGGCCCTTAAGGACTTACATCATGTGATGCCTCTGGATCCGAACAACTTCTTCCTTCCACTCATTTTCCACAGTCCCTCCGGCGCTGATACTGGTCTCTGATCCAGCGCAGAATGCTCGTGTCCCATGGAGTCTGTCCAGCGTGCATGCTCCTGGCTGCCTGGCTCCGTCCATTCACTGTCATTGTTGCGCTCCGCTGATCTGGACTGCTTACTACTTTAATGCACGATTAATCGTTGAAATTAGGATTAGTAATTTATTACCTTAGTATTTCTACTGCAACAGTGAAAAAACAGGTATACATGTAACTTGCCTATAATGTATGCACTTTTAATAAAAAAGATACCTCCAAGCAGTCCTTCTCACTGACTGCCCTGTTTTTGTCTGGCACTATCTTTATATCAAGGGCTGCTGGTTAGAAGTAGACCCCAGAGATTGGGGCAGGGTGTGGGGTTGTTACCAGGCTAGCCTCTGGTCCCTATCCTTCGCTTACATAGTTTTCTTGTGCCTGCTACCTGTGTATATACCATCTACCTAAATAAATGTAGCACTACTCCTCTCAGCGTGGTGTAGGATAACCCCCTAAATGGTCTAGCAGGCTTACATATTCAAATACCACATGCATTTCAGATACACATACATACACAGTATATATAAAATAGTTCTCTGCTATAAAAGTGTGATAATTATACCAATTACTACAGATCACTCTTGATTTTCTACCGGTTTTTACTTGTGATTACTTGGCTGTTACCTAGTCTGAACCCTGGTGCTGGCGCTATGTTTTAAGGTACATGTTAGCTCTTTGTGTAAAATTGAAGGCACTTTAAGGTGTTAATCATATACGTGATGAAAATAAACATATGGTTTTTGCATACTACATATCTGCCTGCCAAGCAAGTTGTCACCAGTATCCTATTTAAATGAGGAAGTGGAATTTACCTTGTTATCGGTATTGTTAAGACAACAAGACTGATGCACAAATGTAATGGTAACTGGCAAACTAGAGATAGATCAGTGACCTGCAGCTCCTTCATAAGAAGGAGCTGCAGGTCACTGATATTTGCAGCTCCTTCATAAGAAGGATTAAGGACCTCTGCTGTAGAATAGGTAAGGTAGCAGTGATAAAATAATGTACAGGAGGCGATTCATGGAAACTCGTCTACAGTAAACTTCAGGTTTTGCACAAATTATGCCTACTATAGACAAAAGAGTTGGGGTAGGCATAATTTTCATATCCAAGTTATGCAAGTCTACCCAGGGTGTGATAATGGGAACTTCTGACTATAGCAAGCACTCTTTATTGCTTACAGATATTTTACAGCTTGTTGTGACCTGCCCAATTTTTTTATTCTCAGTGAAATCGTGGATGAATGGCGTCACCTGAATATGCATTGCTTCTGACCATTGAGTTGGTCACATGTGAACTAACAGTGGATCACACTGCTACAGAGAATGGGCAGACTTCTTTGTGCCTTTCATTTATTGTATGTGATTCTAAGTGTTACTAATGCAGATTGCATACACTGTGTAACAGATCCCATATACTTAACCCTCCGGCGTCTCGGATACGAAGGGTGGCTCTGCCCCCCGTCCGCCGACGTCACGCCGCTCCGCCTCCCTCTTCTGCTTAAGCCGCAGCCTCTCACTTGTCCAACGTTCCTGCAATAAATGCGGATGCCGGACAAGCTCTGAGCACCTCCGTTCTCCATCCTGAACTGCAGCTACTCCCTAGCTCCCTGATATGAGCCTCTACCACTCATGCCGCTGAAGGGCTGCTGAGACTCAGTGCACCGCAATCCTGAGACAGGTGCACAGGACTTCTCATCCCCAGTCTCTACAGCCAACATTCAGCCTCACTGCATGGATGGATTCCTAAAACAGCAGTACAGCTAAACAGCAAGTATTTCCACCACCGCTGCCTATGTTATCAAAATCATTGACTTTAGGCTGTGATGTGAAGTTAACATTTCAGACTTGCTACTGCTGGTTAGGTTTATTCAGACCTATTGAATTACAAACGGAATTCCTCAGCTGAGCTCCATCCCTGGCCATAAAGAGGTATTACACACAGTATCTTTCAATAAAGCTGATTATAAAGTGTTATAACCTCTGTTGGGTTTGTATTGCTATTTTAGTTCTCAATGGTTAGATTCATCCTCACTATTGGTCTTAGTGACCATTGTTTTGGAAATAGAAAGTGAGAGAAATCCACATTTTTTAATTGTCACAGGAACAGGAGATGAGAGGATATCTACCAACAGGGAAACCTGTACTGGTTTCAACTGTGTAACAGGGTTATCCCCTCTCTTTGAAAGATCTCTTACTTCCTCTGGTATCTCTGAGACAGGAAGTAAAGGAAAATCTCTTTGACAAATTGCAGACAGCAAAAAAACAAACAGGCAGGGGTCTTACTCTTAACCATTCTGTATTCTATCCAAAACGAATGAAAAAAAAGTTACTACAGCATCCTGGAAACATTAATGAAGGTAAATGGCACAGATATAATAATTGAATTATATCAAGCTGCAAATTAATCTATGCATTTAACTGATTTAAACCTAATGTACCAAACAAAAACAAAAAATGTAAAGGTTCTGGAAAATTAAGACTGTGCAAATTCTGTGTAATGTGCTAGGACCAAGCTTTATTCATTTAAGTAAATCTGACTTAACTGGCTTCAGTCATGGCAAATGTCATTAGCCTGCAGATTTATTTCACAGTTAAAAATAAACAAAAGTATAAAAGTACATTGAAAATGAATGCTGGGTAACAAGTTACAGTTTTTAAATATTAAGTAAGTCCTGTTTATTTTAACCGGTGTTGATTCCTTTGAACTTTAATAAATCTCATAAGAGTCATAAGAGTTGCCAACTGTCTATAAATTATTACATCTGGTCTTGGCCTCCAGTTTGGTGTTTCTGGGTGATCCTTCCTTCCTAGTACATGTCATGGAGATAATGTGCACATCTTTTAATGCAGGATTACAGAGTGAATATCTTCCTAAGGCAGCGGTGGAACGACCCTCGGCTTAAACTTCCCAGTGATTTCAGAGGCTCAGATGCCCTCACCGTAGATCCATCAATGTTTAAGTGTCTGTGGAAGCCAGATTTATTTTTTGCCAATGAAAAGAGTGCCAATTTTCACGATGTCACTCAAGAAAACATCCTCTTGTTTATTTTTCGTGATGGAGATGTCCTTCTGAGCATGAGGTAAATGTTGTTTATTTTTCCTCAGGTTTTAGCAGTCTCTTCAGAGCATGTATTCATATATGGAAATTTCTTGTAGCATGGTAAATACTAACCTGTAAGATGAATGTCAGAGGAGCTAATGTGCTAAATTGATTCATGGCTATTGAACAAGGGCTGCATAGATAATCATATTGAAAGTGTAAGTGTACTTTCAAACAAATGACACTGACCGGCCCTGTCTATCCTTCTGGATCTGAACTAATTCTTCCTACCCCAGCTGCTTAATTACCTGAGTAGGACAGCCGTGGCCTGCCTACCTTACATCCTCTGGCTAAAATCTTCTTCACCACTGCCCATGGCTGCCCTCATAAATTTACACAAGGTCAGCTCCCAAGTGTACCCAGAGTCTGTTTTCTACCTGGCCATCATACGGGCCCTCTTGATTCAGTACATATACCGGGTAATTGCTTACCAGCACACTTATTTTGGGTCAGTAATCCTATCTTTTTTTTAAATTTTCTTGATCTCCATTCTTGTTTCACATCAGTGACTCATAAAGTGTTGAAACCAGGGGTCAAAAAGAGAGACATCTAGCATTTCATAAGAAACTAAGTAATGACAGCCTCTATTTTTTTTTTCTCATGACAGGTTTTCTTCAAACATACCTGCGGCAACTTCAATTACTTGTCCACATGCAGGGCCGTTCTTTACAGGTGTCGGAGATTGTCCTTTCCCTCCCACACCCCTTGATTGTACTGGCTCATCACCATAATAGGCTACCCCACTAGCCAATAGGATTGCAGAGGGGTGGGGTCAGTCAAGGTCCATGACAACAAGGAAGTGCTAGAACTTTGCTGGTTCGGGAGGACCCAGCATTAGTAAAATAAAGCTGTTGCATGTATATTGCATGGACCTCTCTAGGTGACTGCAATTTATACCTATCAATTTTAATATTGGGGTTTTTTAATTGATAGTCTCTTCAAATTAGAATTGGAGAAAGAAAGCTAAAATACACCGCAGAAGTACAGTACATATATGTAAACTGTTCAAGCTGTTAAGACTTCTGTTAAGTCACTATTTTTAATCACAAATCCTGCCTCACTGCAGTCCCCCACCGTTTCCTGCTTCAGTTTGCAACTTGTGCTACTTGCCGACACATTGAAAAAGAAATCATATGTTAATTGCAGATAAATGGCATGGGATAAGATAGGAATTAGTTTTGCTGTGCAGTGAGGCAGGGTGTGTAAATGGCTACACAGCTTTACAAAGCCTTTGGCACGTAAAACTGTTCACATATATGTATTTACTGTTTGCCAGGAGGCCCTTGCTTAAATTTAGGTCCTTAATCCTAAACATCTAATGAAGAACAGTTTCTAGTTTCAGTAGGTAGACATCAAAACCTAATGTTTTTAGAGTGTCCATGTATTGGAATGCAGTCTTTACCTCCTACCCTTAAAGAGGAACTTATCTGAAAAAGGTGCCAAAAAAAGCACCTTTAGAAATGTTTAGTAAAGGCAATCTACAAACAGATACATATAGATAATTGGTGGCTTTTTATTATTGTACTTTACATATCTTATCATTATTCTTTGCATATCTTATTTTTCTTTTCTTCCCCATTCTTCACAAGCTGGTAATTTTCACTAAGGGTAGAGTAATCCATCTTCCTTTACTTCCTGGATCTTCCTGGATCTCTGGGGCTACCTCCTGGAACATGTGACAGTGTACGTCATCTGAGGAGGAAAAAAATGCAGTTCCCCCAAGATCTTGATTTTGGAGTTTATAGATGAGATTTCCCTGAAAAGCACTGGTGATGTAGCATCCCCAGGATCTATCTGTGAGGCCCAGGGATACATCATTAGTGCCTCACTCAACCAGAAAGTGGACAAACAGTAATTGTTTGTAAAAGAAAAAAAAATTTGTTGAACTAATGTAAGATAATTTCATATCGGCATGCAGAGCTGCATGCCAATGTCATTTTTAGTGAAAGGAGGTAAAGGTCCACTTTAATACGTACTGAAAACAAAAATGTACTAGTGATTTCACAGGTCCCTAAAGCAACATGGGGAGGAGACATAGAAGCACATTGATGTATAAAAAGGTTGATAAAAATAGCTGGTTTCCTATAGGAGGCAAGATTAATTGTTTTGTTTTCAAATCATGGACTGAATAAATGACATTTGGAAGCTGATTATAGCATACTGTTCATACATACATTCATTCATTCATTCGTTAGCTCCTGTGGCTTTATAATGGCTTTTTCTGTGCTGTGCTGGAAAATTCCTTCACCTCTCCCAGCAATGGTTTGAAGCTGCAGAAGAAATAGACATTCGCTGCCTGCTTAAACATATTTTTTTCATTTTTTGTGATATATTAATTACACAAGTGCGCATAGTTTTAAAAGCCTCCTTTTAAAAATACTTCTGACCATTCCCACTTATGTCTGATCGCCTCTACAATTCGCTCGGTGTCTACAAGTGTCTAACCTTCTTGCAATGGAAAACATGGCTCTCAATACTTACCGGCGCTTTGCTAACTACTGAACAAACATCATTTGCTCTGCATTGTATTTATAGATGCAAAAGGTCAATGCCTTCTCTATGTTGGTACAACATGCATATAATTGTGTAATTCTAAATTTTTTGAAACAGCACAAACTGTCTAATGTATTTTTATTTAGGTTGTCCATAACCTTATCCTGCCCTCTGGATCTAACCTTGTTTCCAATGGATACTCAACGTTGCAAGATGCAGCTGGAGAGTTGTATGTAGCTTTTTCTTTATTTAATCTTCATGCACAAAAGGCCCTTTAAAATACATTGGAAAAAAATTAGATTGCCTACCTGGTAATTGTATTGTTCATCTTTTGTACTTATGTTGGGACCCGTTCACACCAGATGCAGTGCATTCTGGGCGGAACGCACTGCCTCACATTGCAGCCGCCTCACTTTTTTGTGGGGCAGGAGGGGGCGTGACGGGCCATTGAAGTGAATGGCACTGTAGCCACGCTCTTTGGCCGCAATGCGATCGGCCGCACGGGATCGCAAGGCAGATTATGCCTGCGGTCCGGTGCGATCAAAATAGTGCTTGCAGCATAATGTGCCTTGTGATCTCGTGCGGCCGATCGCATTGCAGCCGAAAGGGCTATGGTGCCATTCACTTCAATGGTCCACCACTCTCCCTCCTGCCCCACAATAAAGTGAGCCGGCCGCAATGTGAGGCAGTGCGTTCTGGCCAGAATCGGGTCAGAACGCATTGCATATAGTGTGAACGAGCCCATAATGTCAGTAAAGTTAGCTGCCTTGCTTTTATGTAGCAGTCATCAGCTTCCCAGTTATATTTAGTAGTAATCAGTAAGGAATGGATGTAATATTTTATTGATTTTATTTATTGTATTAAAGAGCTCTGACTACCCCCACACTGCAAGGGTTAAAGTATAGTTAACAAGCAGTAGATATGCAACCATATGTTCTGATTATTATGTCAAAAATACGCATACCAGCCACTGGAGATTTTCACATTCATGAAGTGAATATTTTCATTAAACCTAATTTGATGTTGTTTAACGACAGTGATGGGCAGTAACCTATGGCAACCCATCAGAACTTCTCTCATCAACTTAGAGTACGTAGACTATTATTTGCTATGGATTATTGCACAGCATTGATTTTTGCACATTATTAATGTAAACCAGTAAACTAAAACTGGAAAGTAAGCACAATAAATAGCCGATTAATCGATTATTGAAAAAGTTGACAACTTTTTCAATAATCGATTATGTCGATTAGTTGTTGCAGCCCTAGCTAACTTATATGTTTAGCTTTGCAGACAACCTTATAAAAGATTAAGGGGGTTATTCACTTAGCTGCTGAAGGCAGCCGAGTGAATAACCGAGCCGAAGTGAACAGAGCCGAATGACGTTCGGCTATTCACTCCAGCTCAGTACAGCTGACTTCAGCAGTACATCGGTTGCCTTCAGTCAGTTTAACATGCTCTACATGTAAGGCTGAGACGAAATGCAGAAGGAGTTTGACTTAGCCGAGCTTCGGCAGCTCACTCGCTCCCATTCCCCCCTATTCTCATTTTGACAAATCTTTTTTAAAAAGAAAAAAAATTGATCCACCGACGTAGTCCAGGGTTAATCACGACGTCCAGCGTGGTCCACGATGACGACGACGTAGCTAAATAAAAAATAATTTAAAAAATTGTGAATAGCCCGTAGAGCAGCCCTTTGGTTCGACTGAACAGAAGGGCGTAGGCGGCCGAAGCGAGCCAAAGGATCAGCCGAAGCTACAACTGGATCCTTTGGCTCTTCTGTGAATAACCCTCTAAGTGTACTTTTTGGACCATATTTCATGTTACAAAATTCAAAAGGTAATGTGAAACATGGCCACATCGAAACTCGCCCATCCCCCTCCTGTACCCCCACATACCTGAATTATGGGCTTCTTCCCCCTGCAGGATGCTGCTTTTTTAGACATGATGCAGCTGTCCATGGCTCTGCCCACACAGCCACGTCATGTATTCACAGATCCTTTGACAGGATCTGTGAATGAAGAAACTACAAATTTTATCAGCCACTACGGCAGAGGGACTTGTAGTTCTTGGAAGTTCTCTGGAATTTAAGTACAGTGATGTCACCTCACTTGTCCATTCATTCTTCCTCCTGTCCCTGTTACCTCAGTATGGACATGGACTGGAAGGGGAATCTGCAGGAGGCAAAGCATTGCACCCGCGATTTACTGATTGCGGTTGCAATGCTTTACTGGCTCCATTGCAATAAAATAATAAATGCATATTTTTTTCTTTTATGAAGATGTGTGCGCATTTTATTTTTATTTTTAATTAGTCCAACGGGAGCTGGATTTCCCTATTTGCATCGGCTTAAAAACCCCCTCCTCACCACAGATGTGTCGGTGCTTAATCAGTTGATGAGTTTCAGGCACAAAGTACTGTAAACAAATTGTGGTAGTCAGCGTACCCACCCCCTAGAAGCCGGGGTGTTTACAAAGGGTCCAGTGACTGAGAAGAGGAAGCCTGTGACTCTCTGACACATTATGGTGCATATGCTGTAAAAGGGAGATTAACTGAGCACTTGCAGTCTAGGTTTCCTTTAAATAGTGATATGTTTTATGTGCAATGATATGTTTCCAGTATATAAATTATGTATCATTCTGATATATGCAGGGCTAAAGTGGCATAACACTATATCACACATCCATTTAGCTGTGACATCACTCATTCATCATGAATCCTGCTACATGAAGAATTTTCATCAATTTAAAAAAAAACATGTTTTCTGTCATAAATAAGATGCGATCCCTGGTAGTGTCTCAGCGTGTAATAGGGCCAGGCAAATGTTTTTTACTTTGTACTACATTAAAGAAATCAATAATCTCCATTATCACTGCTTTGTTCTGCAAGTATGTAGATTATGTTGTTTTAATAATGCTAATAAATAATTTCAAAGCTGTAATGTTTCTGCAATGATTTTCTCTGTGTGCCTGGAGAGCAAATAATGACGGGTTTGTGAAAGCTTAATTGATTTAATAGGAATGTGTGGAGATCACTGAAATATTTCTGTTTGTCACAAAGTTGGATATACAACGGATGACTTACGGTTCATTTGGCAGCCAGGAGACCCTGTTCAAATGGAAAAAATAGCGTTGCCTCAGTTCGATGTAAAGACAGAAGACATTGAATATGGTAATTGTACAAAATACTACAAAGGCACTGGTAAGTAGTATGCATTATACATAAGTAAATCATCTTACATCATATGTTATTTTTGCATATAGTAATCACTATGTCTTCAGTTATTTGCAAACACAGTGTGATCAGTACTTATCACTCTGTGTTTGTTCAGTACATTGAAGAATCAGTAAATATTTAACATATTTACCAATCCTGAAGCTCCACCCCTTCCCGCCGGAGCTTTCCTTCCCGCTCAGCCTCCTGGTAGCTTTGTCCTCCCTGCTGGAAGCATCTGGATCGGTTCTGTGTCCCCTCTGATCACCGACACCTCTGCTGACACAGGTGGGGGAGAGCAGCGGGGATCCGAGGGGATCAGACTGAAGCTTGCAGCCTGTGTCCAGCGGGGAGGAGAGAAGCTGGGGATGAACTGCATTTTCGGCTGTTTTTGTTTTTTTTTTACTATCAGCCTTTTGCCAATAGAACTATTTTGGCTGAAATGTCTTGGCGGCCAATATTTTGGTGCATGTAATAGTAATTCTGGGCAATAGTAGTTCCAATACACTGAGTGGCCAGATTATTATGACCACCCCATCAGTACTTAGTTGGGCCGCGAGATAACTCCACGACATGACTTCGTTGGGCCACCTCGTGATTCAACGAGATGTTGAAAGGTGATGCGAGGAATCTGACATTGCACTGTTGCCCTTCTGTTGTCTTGTACCAGTCTTGCCACTCTCTGTTCTGCCCTAACATTGACTAGTCGCTGACGGCCACAATTCGCACATTCAGACCCAGATTTTCGGCTGACAGTCCAGTCTTTAAACACTTTAACAAGAGCTGCTCTTGAACATTTAACAAACTCTGCTTTTTTGCTGATACTCGCTCCATGGCTCCGTGCCAACAATCATCCCACGTTCAAAGGCTGTTAAATCGCGTTGTTTACCCATATCTTCAGAAAAAAATCACTTCTACTGTCGTGGTAAACAACCTGCTTCTCTATTTATAATGGTCTTCACTTCAGCGCGAAATTATAGCTAATTTGCCTACAAACGTCAGGTGGTCGTAATAATCTGGCCACTCAGTGTATATGGTCCACCGCTTCCAAATCCCCGGTCAGCTCACATCACAGTCATACCTCAGGTGTAGGACAAAAGGTGCGTGCTCACCACTCACGTGTGTGTGTGTGTGTGTGTGTTTGTGTGTGTGTATATGACATCATCCACAGGTTTTGAAGGATAAGCTAACTTGCATTGTTAGTCCATACACACACACTGTACATTGCAGAAAACTTCCACATATCAAAAAACCTCTTATGTGTTTCATCAACTCCTCTGCTTAGTCATAGAGGCAGGCAGTAGTATTTGCATCCTAACTGTTCCCTTAATAAATTCCCTCTGCAATTTTAGATAAAGAAAAACCCCGTTCACCTCACCCCTGTGTAAAAACATTTGCTGTTTTTGGAGTTCCTATGATACTATCTCCTCTTCCTATGATACTCACAGTCCCTAGACCACTTTATAATTATAAAGGCTACTCTCCCTCTGTGCTCATCAAGGTTGTCAGGTCCTAGTCATACAAAAAGTATGATCAACACTGTATTCCATCTAATATGCATGGGCTGTGTTTTGTCCCTTTCAGCTACTAGATGGACGTGCGCATATAGTCTAAGATCCGCAACACCAACATTTGATGGAGATGCTAGTGATGCCATAGCTCATATAACTCCCTCCTTTATTGTTTCGACAATAAATTTGACTGTGGTAGCAACTAATTATTAGGGTTTTTGGGATTGCAACAAATTCTTCATTCCACCATTTTCACGTAACTGCCCTGGATCTGCAATAATTAGGCAGATTATGTGTTCTGACCTTACTTACTGGATGCAGCTGCCACCAAAATACCCAGCGTTGGCTGTTGGTCGTCACTGACTTCACCTACTCCTTTATATGATTGTGCTTGGGCCTAGCAATTGGCCGCAAGGCCTGAGTACTGAATCATGGGAGGAGGTCACAAGCTCCCCTATACCCAGAAGCACCGGGTGTGCTACAGTGCAGCCGTAGAAGATTGTGCTGTGGGCGAGAGCTGGAAAGGTGAGATTAAAATAGTTAGGGCAGGGGCTTTACACAGACACTTTCACTTTGTCCCAGTGGGCAAGGTGACAGTATCTCTTTAAAGCATTACAGCCATGTGACCAAACTGACATCCAGACCAATATCATTTTAAGAAGGTGGTCAGAAATTACATCACTGAATTTCTTCCAGGAAATATTTAGGTATTTTGGTTAGACATATTTTTCTAAAAATAGCCTTTGCCAGTCTCCTTTTTATTCTCTTTGCGCAGTAATAGAGATTGAGAAGTTTTCAGATGATCACTTTGATGTAGATACTAGCAAGCCTCCCTTCTGTTCAAATGTCTCTAAATTGCTGTTATTAAATATTCCCCTAATAAAATGTTGTCAGTAATGGGTTTCCCCAGCCACCTTCCGATTTATTGGTATCCAGGTAACATTAGCCAGATCTTAATCAGACATATTTTTAGTATACTAAACATGAGTGAATGGTAGCATTTCAGGGAAGCATCTGGGAAGTTGCTTTATACTGTAATTGTGCACATCAAAGTACCAATAAATCTAGAGTCACCTCCACTGAGGTTTTTCTAGTGGATTTTAAGAAGAAAGCTTATGAGTCTGTAAGTAGTATTAGAAGTCCATGTGAAGAATGTTATAGGGCAAACGCCAGAGAATGATCTCTGGAAATCTAAGAATTGATCTTTGCCAGCATGGGCCAGATTCTCCTGCAGCTTGAAAAGGTCAAGGTATAGTTAAGAACTATTGATTTCTGTGCCATGGGAGTGTGCTGCTTTTAAAACATTCTAAAAGGTTTGTAATGTTCATGTTGCTTAGCATTTTAAAAACCTGTTATGGAGCAATATCACTTCTAAACTAGTAGATACATAAGGGAGCTAGTGAATGGTCAGGACTTTCAGTAGGCAGTCACAGATCAAATTAACTGACAAAAAATATATATAAAAAAGTTTTATATAAAATACATTATTGTATTTGTTAAAAAAAGAAATAAAGCTGTAAACAATAAATAAAGTTGTAAACAATATTACATGACCCGAATTAAAGTAGACCAAAAATAATATAGAAACAAGTTTAAAAATGTGTGTGTGCATGTATGTAATATATATTATATTAAATTATCTAACTCTAAGTCTTGATCACATAGGGATCACTTTAGCCCCATCTGCATTCTTTTTCGCAGAGCTGCACTGAACACTTTCATAAATTGAACTGAAGCCTCCCGGCAGTGCACCTGCTTGCTGTTCACTTGCAATTACCTGTACTCAACATACCTATATGCGCTGTGGGCTTACGGCTGGAAGCCTTCAGTTCAGTCTTCCCAGAGCAATGCCACAGAGAGGGGTTGTATTCCTTTTGCTTGTAATATGTTGAATTTTGAATTCAGCTGCTGATGTTGCTGTATCACCTCATTAAGCCTTTATTTAAAAATAATGCACAAAATCTATTTAAAAATAATGCACAAAATCTATTATAGCAATCGGTACAACTGAAAACACAAACTTTGTGTGTTTTAAAACTACTTTTAATACAACTTTGTTCATTAAACACAAACTTTGTGTTTAATGAACCTGAATTAGAAGTTTAAAGGGAAAGTGTAGTGGTTTTCTGCATATGTTTTTATTTATGGTCAGAACTACAAAACAATTGCATTTATGTTGTATTTAGTTGTGAAATGATGTTTGATATGTTATCTATTTGAGGCTGTTGAAAAAAGTCTGCTGTAAACAGATCAGCAGCTCAGTCTGAAATTTCCACACACAGATAAATGACTCATAGCTGTGACCCCACTTGCGTGGCCAAGTCTAAGGTTTCAATCGGGCAAAGCCATGCACAATGCAGGCTGCTACTGCTGTGCTGTCTATACAACAGTGTTTGCATCCAAGTGGTTCCAGCAGTATAACCCACTTGGCTATAGCAGGGAAGCTGCTGCAAACTTAGAACTGTCATACAAATCAATCAGGTCTGTTTATATCTTGGTGCATCAGTGATGTGTGTTGGGGAAACATGCAGGTTGCATTAATGTGCTTTTTGGAGCCCATAATTATTTATAAGGAGTAAATTGCACAGGTAGTGCATTTTACTTAACCTCAACTACCTCATGACCAGCAGAGAAATTAAGAGAGCCTGTCAATGCTGTCAGAGGGGCTTCTTAGTCCCCTTGTAATAGCAATAAAGTTAGGTGAAAAATTAAGTGTAAGCAAAGTGTTTAAAAAAGTAAATAATAAAATAAATGTTAACAAATTTAAAAGCAAGCCTGCTGCCTTCAGATCCCTACATGCGAATGCAAACATGCCCATAGAACGCGTATATGTATGTAGACCACTTGTGCCAAGATGTCAGGTATTGCCGCAAACATCGGAGTGAGAGCAGTAATTCTAGGGCCATAGTTCACCGTTAACTCTAAATTGATAAGCAGTAAAGACTTTTTAAAGCATTGTCTATGGGCAATTTTAGGTACCAAAGTTTTTCACCATTTCACAGATTTGCACAATTTTAAAGCTTGACATGTTTGGTATCTTTTCATTTGACATGACCCTATATTTGATATTTGACCAAAAATGGGTATTATATTGTGATTGTGTGCAGTAAAATTCTTCCAGTGTATTTTTTCATGGAAGTATAGAGTTCATAAACATTTGCACAAATATTGTGCAACTTAAAAAAACAAATGCTACCATTTTTTTCTTTTACAGGACCTTTGCTTGCAGAAAATATAAAATTGGGGGTTTAATGTAATTTTCTATTCAAAAATTCTGATTTTAACATTCGAGTGAAAATGAAAACAAGTAGTTAACAATATATTTATCATCAACATGGTTGTCTAATTTTTTTCATAAAAGAGGAAAATCCTCTGAACTGAGCCACACTTTTTTTCTAGTCTGTTGTATAAAGCATGGATGCAGAATATTTGTTAGAAATAAAGCCATTTTATTTTTATTATCTGCTTTTCATTAAAGGTTACTACACATGTGTTGAGGTCATCTTTACATTGAGAAGAGAGGTTGGCTTCTATATGATGGGTGTCTATGCTCCAACTCTGCTGATTGTTGTTCTGTCCTGGCTTTCGTTTTGGATCAACCCTGATGCCAGTGCTGCTAGAGTACCTTTAGGTAATCAATATTGGTTGAATTTGTGTTTGAAATCTGGTTGCAAAGCTGAAAATAATTACCATTTTGGTAAATTGAAAAATGCCACTTACCATCTATTTTTTTCTGTCAGTCACAGATTACGATGGCTTTTTTCAGTTGAACAAATAATTAGTTATTAAAGGGTCAGTCCACCCAAAATTGTTATTCAATTTTTTTGTAGATGCTGGAGAGTTAAACCCAGTCATTTCTTGTATCTCTCAGGGGCTCTAATGTATTCTTCTGGGTCTGCAGACCTGCTGTATGCATTATGAGAGGGTCTGACACTTCATCATGGATTCCATATTGATTTTATATTACGAAGAATGCAACAGAAGTTGCTGAAATGCCAAAGGTGACAGAAAACACCCAAAACTCCCAGGTGGGCAGGAACCGGATTCGTGGCAGGGAGACCTTGCTGTTTGGAGTGTCCTAGACATATATAAAGCCAGTGGATAACTGTGCCCACCAAGCTCTGCCTTCAACTAAAACGTTATCATCCACAATAAATAAGACTTAAACAAATCTTATGGTACATTTTTATTATAACATTACTTGCATAAAACGGTATCTAATATAGACCAATCTATAATATAGTAATATATAGGACCAACTTCTCATATCACCTTGCTCTGTGCTACAGTATAAGCCATTATACATAATTTTGTATTTGTCCTGAAGAAAGTTAAAACACTTGTGCAAGATGGATAAACTGCTCTTGATATAATGGCGTATTTGTGTTTATTACCAAAGCAGTTCAGGATATTCTGTTTAATCATATACTGTATGCATAAAGTAATGGTTTGTATGTCTCCCCTCACATACCCCTAACTTAACAATTAACCAAATTTTTTGCATCCTTAATGGAAATGGCGATGTTTTAAGTAGTCAATGTTCTACTTTACATTCCAGTATTTCCAGTAAAGGGTTTCTTTTGACCAACCTCGCCTCATCCTAATAGGATCTCATATTTGATTTGCTATCAGCAAGTTACTGAGTTACCCACTGACTTCTAATATGAGTCTATCAATTCCAGCAGTGAGGCCTATACTCCTCATACACAAGGTCTTATTTCCTGCAGCCATTATAAAAGGGCCTTGCACCCCCTTTTTGCTTTTCATTTATTTTACAGACGATAATATCCAGCAGGAATCAAAGTAATGAAAAGACTAGATAATTTTTGCAGCATATTGGAAGCCCATAAGTGATAAAAGAATCCAGTGGCTATGCTCTCTGGAGTGGAATACAATTCTGCAGCAGCATACCATGACTTTTGCAGGTCTAGTACATCCGTCACCTTATTGTGCTAATGTACCTGGAGCCTTTGCATGACATTTCTGCGCTAGCGGAAACCTTTGATAACTGTTATTAATAGAGGCATAATGCCAAATGGTGTCTGCCATTCAGGGTCATTGGTTCCTTGGGATCCTTTGTTGATTCCCCTTGAAAACCTGCTGCAGGCATTTTTGCTGCATCTTTTAAAAAAATAACAGATTATACACAAAATGGCAATGGGTTATATTTTTACTCATTATTTTGCATTATACATTATTCTCCAAAATGTGAATCATTGCTCTGCAAATTATGCCAAGATGTACAAGTCATGTGTATTCATTTTTCATTCTCAGATCGATGTTACAGTTTCATTATCTTAGTAAAACATTCTCATCTGTATGTTTGACATGAGTTCATTGGACGGTGCCAGGAAAAAAACCCCATCATATGGTCATCCCACGTCATTATGGAGTGCCATTGAACTGTAAGATTTGCACTGTCATGTCTTTTATTCAGCGTTACTCTTTATTTTTCACTCACATACATGTTTGTAGCTGTGTGTGCACACATTTGACTGTACATCATTTTGTTTTCATAATTTCACTTACTGTAGAAATACTATACTGTGTTGATTAATTTCATTTACAGCACAAATCCAGTGATGTTTTATTTTATCACAACTATAGTTTTTATGTTCTATAAAGGAGTTATATGCAATGTCGGCAGTTCATGGTTGGCAGGAGGGGTCAGTGGGGTGCCCTCAGCTCTAATGCAAACAGTGGGTTGGCTCTTAGGAGGAGTTCTACAAATGTCAAAATACCTGCATGGACGGGTGTCAGTTTGAAGGAGTGGATGTTCCTTGATGGACTGCATGCAGACCATCCTAGGTAATGCCCACATGTGATGCTGAGCCTCCCTGATTGAAGAACTGAAATCCTATTGAAATTAAGAACTGAAAATGAAAGGTTATACTAAGAATATTTTTTATTTTTACCCTCACCTTGCCAGTTTCTTCTGGTCTGCCACACAGGTTCAGCCTCTCCTGTAGCGAAGTTCCCTTTGTTCAGGTGGCTAAATGCAATCTTATAAGGGAAGCCTCCCCCATAGCTTTGGTGTTGGGATGCAGGAAATAGTATTTTGGGGTCCTTTCATATTTGGAAGCTTCCTCCTCATGGCAGATTAATCTCTGGGTTCGGTCTTCCGAAGGATGCCATCCTTATGGATAGAATTTAGTGGTGTACCTCCAGAGTTATTCTGGAAGGCAGTAACTTGGTCCATGTTCCCATCCGGTTACAGGGTCTGTCCAGAAGTTTTGAGACCGAAGCTAAGGTCAAGTCTGGAAAGGAGACCTAAAAAGCCACAGCGGATTGAAACAGGCTGGTAAAGAGGAAGAAAGATGCTTTAAATCAGCCATAACAAAATGCAGGGGACAAGGAAGCATGGAGGTGGCTTTCTGGCCAATCAGGGAGGCGGGTAATGACTCGCCTCCTGACTTCCTGAATGGCCAGCTTCCTGACCATCGGGAAGCCGGGCCGTGAGTCATTACACAGTGCCTGGCTTCCTGATTGGCTAGGAAGCCGGCTCCATGCTCCCTTATCACCTGGTATTGAGGGAGCATGGAGCCGGCTTCCTGGCCAATCAGAAAGCCGGGCAATGTGTAATGACTCCAGTATCGGGATAGGCATCGGGTGCATTTGGACGAGTACTCGCCCAAATACTCAGTATCAGTGCATCCCTACTGGGAACTATAAGCTGCTTTTTCCTAAATGTTACTGCCTGCCTAGACCCCCTCCAGTGTAGGAAAGCAGCCCAAATGCGGGCTACCAATGAAATAGAAGGGAGCCAGTGTTGCCCCTATTTAAATTCCCCACTGAATCAACCATCACATGCTGCAGATTGTTTGTGTGTGGCCCAATGTAGATGCTGATGAATAGGGCAAAAGATCTGCCCACTCCTCCTACAGATCTAGGCCTTGGTTAAAGGCTTTGCGTGAAGTGCTGATACATTTGCTTTAGCTTGATAAAAGGCACGAATGCCTCAAACATTGCTGAATTTAAATGCTATTAGAGGGCAAAAAAATAATGCTTTCCGTGTTGCAACCCCTCTCGTTTCAGAGTTCACTAATCGAAGGTATTGCTTGCTAATATTCATACTCTTCAATCTTAATATACTAATTTTGTCTCTTTTTGCTTACTTAGGTATATTTTCAGTTCTGAGCTTGGCGTCTGAATGCACTACTCTAGCCCAAGAACTGCCAAAAGTGTCATATGTGAAAGCAATTGACGTGTGGCTAATCACATGCCTCCTCTTTGGCTTTGCCTCACTTGTGGAGTATGCTGTAGTCCAGGTCTTCCTGAACAGCCCACAGAGAATTGAAGCAGAGAAAGCCAAAATTGCAAAGGCTGAACAAGCTGAAAAGGGTGTTAATGCAGCAAAAAAGAATAAAGTCAATGGAACGGGTACACCAGTCCACATCATCAGCACATTACAAGTATGCCTTCTTCTTGCATAATTATTACATTATGATTAGAGATGCTCATATTAGCATTGGTAACAGGATCATGTGATCATTAAAGGGCCACACATAACTAATTCCAAAATGACCAATGAGTGGGAGTCATAGGCTTGGTATCAACAGTCATGGGTCTTGTACCAATTGAATAAGCTTCACTTGTGATACAAGTTGAAACAGTTTTAGAAATCAGTTTCAGACATATTTAAAGGTAAAGCTGTAACTGTAGAGACAATTCATTCTGTTGACTTTGTGCCCAATATTGCCCTCGAAGCACTTTGCTAACAGCCTCCCATCAGTCTGACATGTATGGTAAGGTAAAGTAAGTAGTACTTGGATGCTGACGAAAATAGGAAACTACTGACTTTGGTAAAGGTAATAGACGTTCTCTATGTTTAATGTAACATTGGAAATGTTTTCTACTGTATATGAGAAGCAGCTTGGATATTGAACAAGAGGCTTGAAAAATGTATTCCCATATGTCTTAGAAATGTGAAAAATCCAGCTTGCAAACTCTAGGCAAGTAATTTAAAGTCCATTTCCACCTTTGTAAGTGATTAGCATTTATTGTGGTAATGTAGAGGTGCAGTTATGATGTATATATGTGCACATTTTATGACTTGCATTGCAGGCTTTCTTCATTTTTTTAATGAATGTTTTATTAAGCCTGAATCCTAGAAATTAAAAATGTTCTCCACAGGATATTCACTTTGACACTAGGGTTGGATTGTAAAGCAGGCTGTAAACAGCTGCCTCTCTCCCTGTGATTCTGTGTAACACGATCACTAAACACCAGCTCACTGTCCTGGGGGGTTGCCACTATGAATACAAATGAATGGGATGGAGAGCTCACTGTTAGCTCAGTTGTAATTTAAACTGAGCACAGAGACGGCCATTTCCATGAGGATATAACAAAAAATGTAAATTTCTGTGTTCATACTCATCAACTGTATTGTATATGCCTGCTGCATGTACACTCGGTGTATATTGCTGGCATTTCTTTTTTTTTTTAAACCTCCGCAAAGGTGGAAATGGGTTTTAAAGTAGAGCTATTGGCAAAATAAAAAATTACAAATATGATGCGGTCTTTCACTATGTGCAACATAGCATAGCGTCCCCCTGTGACAGTTTTATTACCTGTTGATCTGTTAAATTCCCACTTTCTTTAACTAGGTGACAGTTTTTTTCTGCTGTAAAAAATGCACAACAGACTTTTTTCTCTTTAAAAAAGGTGTAAACCATGTGAATAAAAGCGGACTGTTGTAAGCAGTGGTATTGGGTTTGTCCCAACCTATGTAAATGTCCCGTTTCTCGGACAACTCGATCTGTACAGAGAAACTATAAAGACGGATACAATGAAAAATCTGAATACTATCATTACAAGTATTAAACCTATACAGTTTGCAGAATACAGTATTTGTGGCTTTTAAAGCTGAAAACCAGTCAAACAGCTAAACAGTCCTGTTTGGCAGGGCAGGTAATTTTGCCCTGCAGTATTTCAGTAACACATGTCCTTGTCCCTTCCCCTAGCCTGTGACTGGACAGTAAAAGGAGAAACCGTACAGTGGTGAGCTCATCTCATAGACACTTTGCTGTCTTCACCTCTAAGCATGTCCTTTGCACTGCACCACAACTCACCCATTCACCCATAAAATCAAACAAAAGAAACCAAGGGTCAAATGGACCCCTGGATTTTTTCTATTAGATCTACAACCAATCGCCGTTATTGTTGAATGATAGCACAGAACCACCAAATATGAGCATGAGTGCGCACTTGATTACAACCTTTCCAACAAAGTAGAGAATTATCTATATGTAGAGAGTGTGTATTAGCAAGAGAGGGGAAATGAGTGAGCTGCAATACTTTCTGATTTTTTTTCCTCTGAACTGACACTGCCCAAATCCTCCTCCCACTTACACACAATGCTTGGGTATTCTACCCTACTGTATTAGGATAAGGAAGTATTTTAAAATACATTTAGAAGGGGGTAACATAGAAGCAAATAATGATTCTAGCGCATTCAATTCACTTAATGGACACAAAGGCTGTGGTAAAGAGTGAATAATTGGCTTAATTGAATATACCGCCACCAATCAATTTCACTTATAGGGGGTGAACCTTTGATTACTGTTAACAATATCATCTCATTACCTCATAGAACATGATGGGGACTTGCGTTTATAATTGTAATTAAGGCATTTATTATATACATTTTTACTTGTACATCAACATTCTTTGAGATTTCTTTTATAATCACATTATTGCATACTACTGTACCTTTTTTTTCGTGAACTTTGTTATGTACTAATATCACTTGAGGCATCTTTCTGAACCTAAGAAAATGTTTTGCTTCCCAGTCGGTACATTCTGCTATCGACGTAAAGTTTGATGTTTATTTTATATATTCTTAGATCAATAATCCAGCTAGCTGTTTATTATTCCCAGGTTGGAGAAACAAGATGCAAAAAAGTCTGCACGTCTAAATCTGATCTGAGATCCAATGACTTTAGCATCGTCGGAAGTTTGCCTAGAGATTTTGAATTGTCTAATTACGACTGTTATGGAAAACCAATCGAAGTCCTCAATGGCCTGGGAAAATCCCTAGCAAAAAACAACAAAAAGCCACCTCCTGCCAAGCCAGTCATTCCATCGGAAGCCAAACGGATCGACCTGTACTCAAGGGCATTGTTTCCATTCACCTTCTTGTTCTTTAATGTCATATATTGGCTGGTATATTTATGATAGCACCAGTTCTCGCTCTGAGTTCACCAAACAAGCCACCATTATTCTCACACTTTTTAAGGCCAACCTGTGATCTTGTCTACATTTGCAGAGTAATATCCTACATTGTAGATGCCATGCAACTGTAATGATAATTGGCTTTTTAAATGGAAGCATGACACTGCAATGTCTGTTCTTGAACTGATGTATATAAGTGTAAGATCAACACTCGGCTATACACACGGTTATGAGTAACGCTTACATAAATCCCCCCAACCTCTACTGTTTTCATATGAAAAGTTATGAAATGCTTACAAAGAAAATTGTGCACGCTGAGCCTCATTTTTTGTAAGATAAATGATCAAAGACTATTTTTTGTAAAATTATCTATTTAAGAAATTGCGCTGTATCCTTTGCGTGAGCTATAATTAATGTGTTAAAAAAAACATATTAAAAACTGTAAATTACAATTTGTCTTGAGTATAATAATCCAGGAATTGCAATGTTCAGTAATATAACTTTTTTATACCCATAATTGAAAATGCATCTCACTGGGGTTGCAGGTGCCTCATGTGCTTCCGTTTAAGGTAAGGTAGCCAATGGTAGCATTGTGTTCAGATAGATGAATATGACCAATCAAGAATGGAGTACAGGTTTATATTATCTCGTAGAAGGTCCTGGCATTCACAACTCATAGTCGCTTTTTAGAAAAGATACATTTCTAAGAACACATCCTAATTTTTTGAAAGTGCAATTCAAGAATATGGTGCATGCCATGGCAAAAAAAACACAAAAACATACACAGCCATACATGCTCATTCCCCCACTCACTCAGTGCCTGATTTCCTGATGTGGAATGACATTGTATGGCTTTTTGTGAAGTGAAATTGCAAGACTTGGTGTCAGCCCTGCTAACTTGTCCATTGTTAAACTACTGAATCCTATCTATTCTCCTCATAATCTCCAAAGCATAGGGGCTAATTGTTCCGTAGTGCAAGATGAGAACTGGAAGGACTCATTGAGATTACACAGGAAGTGTGAACAGGGCAGTTATGCATTTTTGACACGATCAATAACTATTTTTTTACACTTCTCAAACAGAAATAATTTAAAAGACCGAAACGGAGCAAATGAGAGAAGTTCATTGTTCGGGTTTACATACACATTAAAGTCACCCTATGACTTCAAATGAGGTATGTATTAACTTCTAACACTGGAAATTATTAGTGACACACTGTAACTGGCCAGAGGCACTATCAAGTCAGAGGGAAATTTGCAGTTTACAAATGATGAGAAATACTGCCTCCTAATGGGTTATATGCTTTTTCCAAATACTTGCATCCAGTTAAAGGAAACCAGTATTGAGAGAAATATTTTGGGTGCCATTGCTAATTTTCACCTTTAAAACACAAGCTGCATGAGTGCCCGCGTATATACATTCACGTGAAAAAGAAAGTACACCCTCTTTGATTTCTATGGTTTTAAGTATCAGGACATAGTAAAAAGGATCTGGTCCTTAGCAGGTGTTAAAACGTATTTCATAAACATAGAACCAAAATGGAGAAATTATGTGTGAAAAACTAAGTACACCTTATGATTCACTAGCCTATAGAACCACCTTTGGCAGCAATAACTTAAAGTAATCATTTTCTGTATGACTTTATTAATCTCACATTGTTGTGGAGGAATGTTGGCCCACTCTTTTTTACAAAGTTGCTTCAGTTCATTGAGGTTTGCAGACATTTGTTTTATGCACAGCTCTCTTAAGGTCCTGCCACAGCATTTCAGTCGAGTTGAGGTTAGGACTTTGACTGGGCCATTGCAACACCTTCGTTCTTTTCTTTTTCAGCCATTCTGTTGTAGATTTTCTGTCAGACAGATGGCCTCACATTAGGTATACAGTATATAAGAGTTCATGGTTGACTCAATGATTGCAAGGTGCCCAGGTTCTGAGGCTGAACTAATCACCCCTCCACCACTGTGCTTGACAGTTGGTGTTCATATGCTGTGTTTGGTTTTCATCAAAGGTAAGGTTGTGCATTATGAGCAAACATCTCCACTTTGTTCTTGTCTGTCCAAAGGACATTGTTCTAGAAGTCCTGTGGTTTGTTCAGATGCAATTTTGCAAACCTCAGCTGTGCTTCCATATTCTTTTTAGACAGAAGAGGCTTTCTCCTGGTAATCCTTCCAAGCAAGCCATACTTGTTCAGTCTTTTTCAAATTGTACTGTCCTGAACTTTGACATTTAACATGCTAACTGCGGTCTGTAGAGTCTATCCTGACACCATATATATCCTGACACCAATCCATGGCAGCATACAATGGGTATGGCTCCGCCCCCAGCCCAAATCACAGGACCAGTTATACTATAAATGAAAGCCCGCCTCCCAAGGCCACCATTCTTTTTTTTGTCCTCCCTGCTCAAGCCGGTTATACTAAGGATATGTTGGAGGGTTTTTTTTTGCCCTCACCTTGCCTGTTTCTTCTGGCCTGCCGCACAGGTTCAGCCTCTCCTGTTGCGAAGTTCCCTTTGTTCAGATGGCTGAATGCAATCTTAATAGGGAAGCCCCCCCCCCCATAGCCTTGGAGTTGGGGTGCAGGAAATGGTCTCTTGAGGTCTCTTCATGTTCAGATGCTTCCTCCATCATGGCAGCAGGTTGAACACCTGCTTAGCCTCCTGCTCTTGGGACTCCATAGAGTCCCAACCGTGACTCAGCTGCATCATCAGAAGCTATGGTTGTACTGGGATGATCACATGCATGGACAAGCTGACAAGTAGGATTGTTGGTTGTGGCTACAGCCGGCGAGCCTGTTTCAACTTTTATCTATTTCCCTATCCAGGGATCGGGTTGATGAAGGTTTCCTATGTGCAAATCACTTCAACAGCCTTTTCAATCCGAGGTCGGTGACAATCCTTCAGGGGGAATGTCTTCAGCATCTTGGAGTTCAGAGAGCCTTTCGGATCCAAGGAATCTCTGCATTAGTTCAATGAACAACTGGATGATATTTTGTTCCAAAGATTTGGTGTCTGCTCATAGATGTATGGGAACCGCTCACTGCTGATGGGGGTACCTCTAATCGAGGATTCTTTAAACTTTTTCAAATTTTTAAAAATATTTTATTTTTATTTTTTTTTGATACTTTAAAAAAATGTATATTTTGATTTATTTCATTTTTTAGTAAATATTTTTTACTTTACTTTTAGGTGCTCCAGGGATATATTGGGGGTCTAAACAGACCCTTGATATTTCCATTTTAAAATAGAAAAAGAGATTGAGAACACAGAGTCCTCTTTTTCTGCAGCCCCAGTTATCAATGAACAGGAATCCTCTATACTGAGTGTTCCTGTTCATTCCTAACATGCAAACATAGTGTGTTTACTATATCCACAATCATAAATGAACAGGAGTTGATGTAGATCACTTCCCATTCATTCATAATTGAGGATATAGTCAACATACCATGTCCTCAATTATATCACTGATCGTTGAGTGTTTGTAGCTCGCTCTCCATCCTGACAGCTGTCACAGAAGGCTGAGCGAGCTGAGCTCAGCCTCCTGTGACAGTGCTGGCTGTCTCCACCCACACTGCTCTCCTCTGATCTGTTACAGGAGGCTGAGCGGTACGAGGAGGAGAGACTCCGGCCACTCACAGCGCTCGGCTACCTGTGACAGTTTCTCGCGCTGCTCTGTGTCCCAGCGAGGAGGAGAGAAAGAACAGATGCACCGCTGTATCGGCCAGAAAATTGCACTTTCGGCATTATGCCGATATATCGGTGCATCCCTAATGTGTATATTATATATACACACACATTTAACAATCTCTGCACTGGAAAACACCTCCAGCCGGTGAAGTCAAAGCTCCTGATTTGCATACTTGTTCCTGGGCAATGTTAAATCCATATGGCAGCCAGGCAATTAGCTTTTTCAGAAATGTCAGCCTATATATTCTTTTAATACAAGTTTCTTTTTAGGATTGCAAAGGCATTATTTATATAGAGAAAAAAACAAGAACACAAGCAGAGTTGTTGCCCATAGTAACCAGATTTTTTTCCCCCAGAAAATAAGATAAAACCTGTTTGGTCGCCATAGACAACAACTCTGCTTTTGTTCTTGTTCTTTTCCTTTTGTTCCGTGCTTTTTTTAATTTATTATATCCCTTTTGTAGCCTTTAAGCTTTGTGGTATATTTTAAAGCATTTGGGGCAGGGATGGCCAAACTCCGGCTCTCCAGCTGTGGCGAAACTACAAATCCCATGAAGCATCTCTCTCCGGGAGTCATGTCTGTGGTTGTGAGAATCTTGCAAGGCCTCATGGGATTCGTAGTTCCACAGTTGGAGGGCTGCAGTTTGGCCATCCCTGAATTTTTTTTTTTTTGGGGGGGGGTGTATGCATTAATGAATGGGACAGCTAGAAGCATTGGAATTTGCACTGTGATACATGGCTGTCATTAAATAATCAGATATGGGAAGCTATCACATGCATGTTATAAGGAACATTTTATTTGATGTTAAACACTAAATAGCTGTAGACAAAGCAGCTGAATCAGTAAAGCAAATACACAGTGCAGAGACCCATAGAGCCTAGCCTATAACATTTCATTTTATGTTATGAACATCAGATCAGTAAAAGGAGAATTCTTGTTGTTTGCCAGGGATCATTGGACTTTGCTAATTGGTACTATTATTTTATCTACATTGCAAAATCAATTACTATTAAATATATAAATCTCCTATCACAAACACTGGAAAATATTTGATCCAATATAATGTTTACATAGCTTGTTGAGGTATAGTTTTGCTTTATACATATTTTAGGCCGTGTTCCTTTTTGTGCCTAGGTGACCTTTAGCGCACTAAACTTTTAATTCTTGAGAGAGACTTTTAGGCTAGTATAGTTTTACTTATTTCTGGGTCTTGTTGCTGCTCAGGTTTTCATGATAGAGCATCAGCGCCCTCTAGCTGTCATATTGTTTAGACTTCCATTATCTCTACAGCTTTAGAAGCTATGGTTTTGTCATTTAATCTTTTTTTTTTTTTTAAGATTACATTTGAAAAATTAAGAATTTTCTCCTCTGCATAAATATTTGAATATACTCTGCAATATATACAATTATTCTGAGTGGTGCATGGTTTTATTTTGCATGCAAAAAAGCTTCATTGTAAAATAATGCAGGCAGAGTATATAATTACCCTGAACCCTGAACGTCGTGCCCGAACCCCCCCCTGAAGTCTATAGGAGATGAATCTTGTAATTTTATTTTTCTGTTCTTTTTCAAGGTCAATTTGCAGACTTTTCTTAGAAAAGGTCATGGGTAGCTGGGTACTGCTGTGGGTGACA